TAGTGTTTAGTTCTTTCATTGTAGTTTTCATTTGCATGGATGTTATATTTTTAAAGTTTGTAGTTTGTATTTTAAAACTGCTACCTGCCTCGAGTGCTATTTTTGGCAGAAAGGCAGGATATAAAATAGACAAACAAGCATTGGAATGCTAATAATTAATCAGCACTCTTGCTACAAATAGGTCAGGCCATTTAATTGTTGGGCATAGTCACCATTTTCAGACCTATGCCGGCATGAAGGTTTCATGATGAAACCTAATTTAGTTATTTGATTTAAATCTCACTTTTCTATGAAAACTTGCACTGAAAGCATCTTTCAAAACAATCTACGATGGATTAAAGCAGTAAAACACAAATATAAATAGCATCAACAAAACAGGACAGGATAGTGTGTATACTGCAATGGGCTTGGCTGAAAAAAACCTGTCTGTCTGTCTGTCTGTCTGTCTGTCTCTCTCTCTCTCTCTCTCTCTCTCTGTGTGTGTGTGTGAGAGAGAGAGAGAGAGAAAGAGAGAGAGAGAGAGAGAGAGCGCGCAAGTGCCCAAATTATTACATAAAGCGGCTAGACTTTAAACTCTGAATAACACTAAGTTTTAAGAGTCAATTAAGTTTGATACTGATATTAGACTGATAGTTTTTCAAATATGCTAACAATTCTGCTTCAGATAGTTGCAATCCATCAGCTACTTTGCAGGCTGGATGAATCTTTTCCCCCCACAGAACCCATAGGTTGAACTGAGTTATTTTGCTGAGTCTTCTTACCTGGGCTTCTAAGATAATTTTGACCCTGAGATACCCACAGAGAGGTCCAGTGCTACTGAGTTGTTCCAGGATCATGCTGAGTGTTGTAATGCAAATGCATTAATTGTTACTGCAGAACAAACTCTCCAGAACATCTTCCATTGTTGCTCTCCAAACTTCCATAATAAAAATGATGGAAGTTTCAGTTCAACGCCTCTGGAGGGCATCAGGTTGGGGAAGACTAATGTAGAGGAAATCAGCAGTTGGTAGTGCCTAGATTACAGAGGTAGCAATGTCTTTTAGATACCACCTTTCATAATATTTTACCCTAGGGGCGTTTGTAACTATTAGAAGGTGTGACAGACCCCAAATGATACCTAAAAAACTGCTAACTGGGCAACCCATCTACTGCTGTAGCTCAATGAACTTTGAAGTATAATGGAAACAAGTATCTTCAGAACAGGGACCTGCACTTTACAGAAGAGCTAAAAAAAGTCTCTCTTTCCCATGGAGACTGCTGCCCATTCCTTTGAATGAATCTCATCACTGTTTCCTTGATGAACATTCACATCCCATCTCTGTGCAGAGCACGAAGGCTCCTGGGTACAGGATTCTGTTTTTTGTTTTCTTTTAGGGCAGCTCTCAAGAACGGGTTAGCTTAGCTCCAGCAGGTTTTCACAGAATAACTTTACTCCAAAACTATTGAATAGTTCATTGCAAAATCTTTCATCAAAAAAGTTCAGAAAACAAAGGGTATTTTAGAAATGATTAGGTTTCGAATTTTGAATTTATTTGTGAACTATTTCCCTAACACTTTAGCAACATCACCACTGTTGGCAGGAGGAACTAGCTGGGCAAAATTCAAGTCTTACTTGATGGTTACTGAAAGTCAGGAGCTGACATCACTTAGAATTGCCGGAAGGCAAGATCCTGTTGCAAACAAGCTGTCAGGCTTAACTAGGATAGCCTGTGAAAATGTCTGAAACAAGCGAACAGGCAATTATTCCTGGAAAAGCCTTGCTTGAGTCTCTATGGAAAACTCAGGATGAAACTGTGCTTTTTCTAGAGGGACCATTAGACCGTTCATCCAGATTTTCCATTCAGTCCAGCTGCGGATGTAATAAAAAGGCTGCTCCACCAGTGGAAAGGAAGGCCTGCTGCTGGCCGGCCTGTACACCGCCGCCGAAGGCTCCTTGGGACACCTGTGGAACATTCCCTTGATATAGATGCCCTGCCAATAGTAGTTCGCTGGTGGTTGTGGGAAAATATGGCTTTTGGGAGCTAGCAGAGGAGGTCCTCAGCCCCTTTGTTCCTTCAGCTTCAGGCCCCTGAAAGAAGTCTTGAACTATACTAGCTTTCATGCTGGCATACTTAGTCCCTACTCAAGCCCAGGGTTGTTTTAATTGCAGCATAATGGTTCACCTTCTTGCAAGGAGGTACCGTGTTAATGTGCAGTTTTGCATAGGGAAGCTCCAATACCTTTGTGAGAGTACCCTTGTGCCTCTTTAAATCTGCAGGGTATTTTTTAAAAACCCTAATCACTTGAATCTCATTAGAAATAGTTTATGAGGCCACCACTTTCTAGCCATGTTTTTCTTGAAGTGAATCCCACATACACTGTCCCAGGTCAGAGACAACCCTGTGAAAAGTCTTTCTGTAGAATTCAGATGCCAGTTCCTGTGTTTATCCACAGTGCCACCTGGAGCAGGTATCTTTACCTGCTTTGTCCTACCCCATGGGCTGGCCCTGAAGAATAATGACCCAGATACCTAAATAACATTTAAAATTGTGGGTTCTGATATTCCTTTTATTTCACAAGTGATTCCATTTATTCAGAATAGGATTCCTGACTTCATGGAACTGTAATCAAGTGATCCAAATCATTACCCTTTGTGCGTCATCTCTGCAATTGTCATATGTGTGACATGTTGTACGGAAATAGAGGAAGTGGGGGGAAAAGTTCATGTATTTTGTATCTATTAAGTGCTTTTGAATTAGTAATAATGTTTAAACCTATAGAAACTCTTTTCTGATTATATTTATTTCCTTTTCCCAAACTTTGGTGGAAAAGGTCCAAACTTTAAGGGGAACTTTGAAGAGCTAGAAACTTTGGTTCAAGTGAATTTACCCTAAGTGAACAGTGAATTTACCCTAAGCTGAGGAGGCATTCAAAACCGGGGGGTATCTAGGTAATAGTGAACAGATATTTGGGAGCAAGGCAGGAGATACTACTACCCAGCCTGACAAAAGGTGAAATATTATACTAGTGCAAGTTCTGTCTAGAGAACTTCACATGTAACTTCTTTATCCTCACAGTAATCTTGACAGTGAGCTTCATGATGCATGCAAAAGCACTGTAAAATACTAGGGAGAAGCATAATGGGGCACCTCTCATGAAGATTGCAGCACCTTGTGCTCATTTTCCCAGTTCTTTGTGTTTATTGTTATTTTTCAAGAACATTGCACTTACATTGCAATGAAGTATCATGGGCAGATTTACTATGATGAATCGCCATTTAGAAACATTCCCTTTTGTGATCCTAATATGAGTATGTAGGGCATGGTGCAGCCGTGTCACCTGGAGCAGGAAAGGGTGGGGCTCCCACCAACAGAGTTGTTCAGCCATTATTATTATTATTATTATTATTATTATTATTATTATTATTATTATTATTACAGCATTTCTATGCCGCCCCTTGCTGAAGCCTCGGGGCGGCTTACAACACAATAAAATACATTGAAGTACAATAGAACATAATGAATTACCTCCAGTTACATAAATACAAAGAATATGCTGGGATACCCACATAATCATATAAAGTTAAAATTAACAGTATAAAATAAGTGAATAAAGAATATAGGAGGAGAATAGAGAAGGAAGAAGAAGTTGCCCTGGCCAGATTATATATTTTAACAATTAAAATGATGTTTAAATAAAAAGGTCTTCCTGACAACAGGCTCCATGCAGGCACAGGGATCATGAAGAACCACCTCCAGACCTCAGACCTAGTCTGGACTAAAGGCCTGCTCCAATCCAGTCTTCAAGGTTCCTTCAGAAGTGGGAATCCCTGCAGAGGCCTGCCTGCTGCCCCTATCTTTGCTCTAAGATCCAAACTAACAGCAGGGCGCCCTCTGCTATTTTCAGAGCTTTGATTTCCAAGGTAGTACTAGCATGTTGCATTTTAATGTTTCACATGTGAACTGCCCAAAGAGCCTTGGCTACTGGATGGTACAGAATTGTAATGAATACCTAACTTTATTTCAGTAGGACTTTGGATTGCACCAATAACTACCAACTCTCAAAAGGCAGGATTTTGTTTCTAGCATCTAATAAGCAGTGTTTTTGCAGTTGCTGGCAAATTAAAAATTCATGGTGTTTTTGAGGGATGGGTGGGTTAGTGGCCTCTCTCTGCTTTCAGTCGTTGCCCACAGTGGATTTATTACTGCTGAATTAGTTTTATGACATATGCCACCTTGATAGTGAAGGGTGGGGTACAAGGCCCAAAACACACTGAAGAGTCGCTGAGGAAATGAGCCAGGGTAGGTTGCACCCTGTCTGTGACTGCTCTCCTGGGGTTTATGGCTGTGCTGGTACAGGAGCTGATCATTTGCCTGGAGCTTTCTGAACTCCTGCTGTGGGCTTATATGTTGCACAGCATGGCTGCCCTTCAGGCATTATGGCAGCCTCCAGAGTTCTTTCCCTGTGATTATTCCCATCATGCACTGCTAATATTTTAAAAGGTCAGGCACCATGTAGGCAGATCTTTTCTAGCTGATCATTTTTGAGCACAAAAAGCACAAGCACAGCATCCAGCATTGCAGTGCCACATCTTAAGTATGGGAAGCAACCACAGAAAAGCAGCTCTTAGGCAACCATTGTAACCTGTAAAGCATCAGTGTCAGATATTTCAGCTTGAGCACCAAATTTTATGTTGGTGATGCCCTTCAGGGCCACATTGCAATGGACAAAAGGGGCAGGGCCAAAATAACAAAAATCCCAGCATATTTTATCTTAGCACTGCTCCTGCTGTAAGTAAATCTTAGAGGCATTTCACGCTTTTAGAATGGGGGAGAAAGTACCAAGACCAGAAAACTACCAAATGATTTGTAGTGAGGAAAAATGGTGTGATTATTTGGGAAACACTAGAAAGCTGATTGGGATCCCAGGCAGGCCAACTCTGGCCCATGGCTGCTTATTTTTGTTTGCAGTGTGTTTTTCCTTTTTCTCAGTCATGTGGTTTCCCTTTGCTCTTCTTGCAGGTATCCTTTAGGTACCACTGTAGACTATACAATGAATGGCGTCGGACCAATCAAAGAGTTATTCTTCTCATCCCAAAGTCAGTCAGCATCCCATCAAACCAGCAGTCCTTGCTGGGCCTGCATTCAGTCAAAAGGAACTCGAAAGAGACAATCGTCTAATTGTGATAATCCTGTACCTGGGCCATGAACTACATGTGGGGTCTGAATCCATCCCAAACCTGGTAGTGTTACATTCTTAAAAACAGACTCTTTACACAGGAGAAGATATGACTGTTGCAATTGAAATCATGGATGCTGCGATCATATGATATTTGCTAAGCTGCCAAACATGTTTAAAATTTAGCAGATACTGTATGAAATCCTCCAATATGTTGATAGCTGCATCACAGGGATGCAACTTTTTTATTGTTGTTTAAAAATGATTAAACTATGATGGCAAACAATGCAAAACACATTTGCAGCATTATTTCTTTGAAAATGATTTTTTTTCCATTCTGGCTCCCTCCTGCTCCAGTTTAGAATAATCAAGAATAATTAGAGGGATTCTACAGGAAATGAAGAGACATTAAAATAAGAGTGTTCAGAATTATGACATGTAGACATATAGGTTTCTTATGGTTCTTTAAGGAAAAGTTTTCAGTGGAAGCCTCATGAAGCGTGTTGCAAAGTGTAAAACAAAAGGTCAAGCAATTTACTGGATCACACTTCATTTCTTTAGAACTATGTATCCAAACACTAAGGCTTAGTGCTGAGTGACTAAGCAAAAATAGATTGACCATTCACACACACACACACACACACACACACTCAATACTCTATGTGAATAATTATTGGGCAACCAACTCAGGTGGAGTTCTTTATGCAAAGCAAGGGTGGCAGCAATGGGAACACAAGCAGCTGACTTAGAGTGACTGGGCTCACATAACAACCTACCATGACTAATACACCATGGAGATTGTCACATCGTATCAAACCAGACTGTTTCCCACAAGATGACTTATTCAAAGGCAACAATCCACTCCAACAGCTATCAAAATATCTTTTCCCTGAAAAAGACACAAGATGCAATTTTGACACTTTCCCGAGGAGCTGGTGTTGGGTGAAAGAGTAAAATTTTCACAATCCTGAGAACACAAGGGCAAAACAGAAAAAGATGAGGATCTGTTCATGAAAGGGATTCCCCCCTTTTGTGAATAAATACCCCTTGTGGCTTTCCTTTCCTTTGACAACTTCACTTTGAGCAGCTGCCACAGGAAAGCAATGGGAGTTTTAGATGTTTGTTCAGGTTTGGTACCTGCTGCACTTTGACAGCAGGTACACCTACCCCCTGGGATATTGCCCAGTTCAGGATTTTTATTTTCACACCTTTGAAACTGTGGACATTGTAAAAAGTGTGCAAATATTTGCATATCTTGTGGGCACAGAAGCAAAAAAAAAAAGTTTAACCACTGGCAGACCCCCCCCCCAACGTGCCACTTAGGCATCTTAAGGGGACTGTCACTAGCAGTCAAACCATAAAGTGCAATCTTGGATGGGATTAAAGGGGGGTAAAGGCCTTGGTGAGTGAAAAAGGGCTTGTAAACAGCAGGTGGGAAGCAGGAGCTGTACAGACAACCTGGCCTTCCATGGAGCCATCTGGAATACTTCAGAGAAGACTGAGGGTGAAGGACACATAAACAACCCGCAGTGAGCCCAATCATCTGTCAGGTGCATCGAGTGTTTTCTGGACACCAACCAACCCACTTTGGCTCATTGCCAGCTTTGGTTAGTATGACGTGAATGTGTCCAGCAAGGCCGATTATTGGCTGATCCAGCTCAGTCTCTTCAGCAGGAGCAGCTTTCCAGGGTTTCAGACAAGAATTTTTTCAGTGCTACCTGGAGAGGTGAGCAAATCATAATGATCTTTTGCCAAGTATTAGATGGTCTGTGCCATTCATATATTCACTTGTTGGAAAAGGATTGCTACATTTTCTTAAACATGTTGAAGTGGAGAGATGCAGTGTAGAAATCACCAGCATTAAAATACTGGCTCTCTTCTCCCATGAGAAGCCACTGCGGGTGAAAATCCCCACAGGTTTTATCATGACGACCAACATTTTGAGTGCATGGAGACATGCCATAGCTTCTCATTACGTGCACACCCAGTAAGAATGGGTTGTTGGGGTATTTGACAAGCCACTCACAAGTCCAAAAGAGCTCATGGTTTTGGGATGGCTTGTCAGCTATTCCAGTAACCCATCTCCACAGGTCACACACAATGAGAAGCTGCAGTGCACCCTGACCATGCACTGAAGTTCCAGAAGAGCAGCTGCCACCATGATGAGTAGCCCTGCAGGGACCAACACCCATGGTGGCTTGTTGTTATGTGTGCACCAGGTAGCTGGGCAGGCAAGGATTTAAGGGGGCTACAGGTTCTGGCAGTTCTATAGAGCATTCTCTATCTGTTGCATGCCCACCAGGAGAGGTTGTTCAAAAAGCAGTTCTCTCTGAAGATAAGGCAGGGTGGGGAGAAGTACCCCAGTTTTATGGTTTAAGTATTAATGCAAAACTTGAGTGAACCAAGCTTCACCAGAATAGACATTTACCCCAGTCCTCCAAGTTCATTTTGTACAATGGGTTGGGGTCATCCTGCTAGGATAATCAAGAACTAGCTCATTAGAATCATAGAATTGTAGAGTCAGAAGGGCCAGAAGGCCATTGGGTCCAAGCCCCGGCTACTTCAGGATTAGACATGTTCCAGGATGCTTCAACTACAGCTCTGCTGAATTGTCAGCTTGGCAAGTAAAGCCACATGCAAATATGTAAGATCTGACTTCTTTATAGCAGCAAGGCTAAGCCCACTTTCTAAAAGTTTATAGCAGCCTTACAACTGTGGCAAATTCTAATTTGAAACCTGAAGGCTAAAATTTGTATTCTTGGGCAGCTTGCCTTGTCTGTAACTATCTCTTCCCCCAAGAGGAAGAATGCAGTGTTTAATTCCATTTTTTTCCTCTTTTTGAATTAGACAATCAAGTGGGCATGCTTATATCAGCAAACGCTGCAGGCAAAATAATGTCATATAGCTTATTTGCAAGGGTTTTTTCCCCTCAATTGCAACACAAAACATTTGACAAACATTGAAATTGCCCTCCACACCTCTGTCCTGTCAGAGAAAAAGGGAATGGAAGAGAATACAGAGTAAATGAATATTGCTTAGGTTTTAGATGGACTTAGCCACTATGCTTTGTCAACCAGCATTATTATTTAGGATTTAGCTAAATGCATCATCAACTAATTCAGCAACCAAGTTTGACCAGCTGCCTTTTTCTATCAGTATCTATAAACGTATTAGAGCCCTTTAGATATGCTACAGCAACTGTCAGGAGAATTTACATTTTGGCAAAACCTATCAACTTGTTAGAGTGGAAGTACACTTTTATTGTTGTTTTTGTAACTCCAGCAATATATTAGAACCAGAATTGGCTCAGAACACACCTCTTAACTCAAAACCCCATTAAAATGTCTCCAACATACTGCCCAACTCGCATCCCATCGGTGAGTCTAGCATGGCGTGTGTGAGCTGAGTGCCACAGCTGGGTTGACATCGGAGAGGAAATGCAGCTGTCTATTCTTCACTATGTATTGGCAGCCCTAAGACTGCAGGAGCGTGTGCTGATTTTCCCTCCCCCACCGTGTCCCCCATGCGCACCAGCCCTTCCCTCAATCCCTGGACTTGCCATGTTGAGGAACAGGGCCTGAAGGGGCACTCTATTCATATTCACTTGAACATGAGTAGAATTCTGTGCATGATCACGGACCATGATACAAGGGGCGTTCAATGTATTCTCGGTATCAGCATGAAGAAAAAGGAGTAATAAATTCAAATAATTTTTATTTTTCAAGGTAATCCCCCATAACTTCAATACACTTATTACATCTAGAAATTAACTTTGCAATTCCCTGTAAAAAATACCTTTTCTCCTTGTCCAAAAAATCTGCGTTAATTGCTGCCTTGAGTTCTTCATAGTCGGAGAATTGCTTTCCACAAAGATCTTTTTTAAATTCGGGAATAGGTAATAGTCACTAGGGGCCAGGTCCGGGCTATAGGGTGGGTGCTTTATTTCTTTGAAACCACAGTCTCGCACAGCAGACTTCGGAACATGCGGCGTGTGAACGGGCGTGTTGTCGTGAAGAAGCAACACACCTGCGGTCAGTTTTCCCCGCCTTTTTTCTTTGTTTCTCTTAAATTAAGCAGAGTGGTTGCATAAGATGCTGCGTTTATGCTATCACCTTTTTTCATGTACTCGATCAATAAAATTCCCTTTGAGTCCCAAAACACTGCGGCCATGATTTTTCCGGCCGATGGAGTGACTTTGAATTTCTTCGGAGGGTCAGCACCTTTTTTATGCCACTGCATGGACTCCTGCTTACTTTCAGGGTCATACTGATGAACCCAAGTTTCATCTCCAGTAACAATCCGGTCAAAAATACTCGATGGATCTTCACCACAGAGCTCTAAAAACTCCCTACAGCACTCGACTCGCACTTGTTTCTGAGGCGCCATGAGCATTCGCGGCACCCATCTTGCACAGACCTTTGAAAGGTTAAGATGGTCATGAAAAATGGTAAATATGGTACCAACGGATAGGTTTGTGATCTCTGCTAACATTTTGATTTTTATTCGGACATCTTCCAATACAAGTTCCTCAATTTTGTTCACATTTTCTTTTGTAGTGGTGGTAACCAGCCCATCCGAGCGAGGGTCATCTTCAATGCTTTCTCTGCCCCTTTTAAATTCACTTGACCACTTTTGAACAGTAGATAATGAAGGTGCAGAGTCCTGGTAAACGGCCACCATCTCTTCATGAATGATTTGTTTACTTTTTCCTTGTTTTGTAAGGAACTTAATCACAGCGCGGTGCTCGATTTTCTTCAATATAGTCGCAGTCAGTCATTATGGTCGTCTTTCACTGAGGATTACTAGGGAACTAATGATCACACTTATTTGAAATTTTGTATGTATACCCTCAGATGGTGTCATTAGTTAATGAAATAATTAAATTACCCACATCAATAGCAAATCAACCCGATACCTAGAATACATTGAACGCCCCTTGTACAAGAGTCTCCAATGGTGTGGCAAGTTTTGCCTGAATTCAGAAAAACCTGAGGAGAATCCTCCTTTCTGGCCTTGCAACTCAAGGTCTGAGAAGGCCACCCCCCCCCCACTACACTGGGGTGAGGAAACATTCAGCCTGAGGACCAAATCCCAAGGTCTTGGGGGGCACATTCTATCTGAGGCCAAAGACAAAGTGGTTGGGGGCTGAATATGACTTTCACTGATTTTAATCCACTTCAGCTGGACAAGGCTCCTGCATGTCTACTCAGAAGTATGCACAAATTTCTGCAGCCTTCAGAAGATGCAGGACTGAATCACTCAGCAGCTTCTTCTCCATACCCTGCTCTCTTACTT